CCGAAGTCAGATGCTCAACTGACTGAGCCACCCAGGCACCCCTAGGGTTTTATATTTTTATTGAAAAATAATAGATGCCCATGGTAACAATTTCAGAACACTGGCTGCAAAGATCAACAAAAACAAGTTTTGATTAAGAGCTATGAGAGAAGTTGTTAAGTATTCCTAAGGGATGAAATTGTTGGAAAGGTATCTACATTAGCGTCCCTTAAAGACCTGTAGCCATCTAAAAAGGATCTATTCTAGAGTGGAAAACTCAGCCTGAGACAGAGATGATAATAAATAAAAGTTAATGAGAATGGTAACAAACTAGTGTTTATTTGGTTCAACCATTATTCCATACCCCACAAAGATAGCGCTCTTTCAAACTGCCATGTTTTGCTGTTTCAATAATATATTTATAGTCCAATTTATAATTTATTTAATGTACACGATAACTCTCTGAGATAGGCAGTATTACTCTCATTTTGTAGATGAGGAAATAGGGGATTTTGATTAGGTTGTTACAGTTGGGAGATCTAGAACTCCATTCAGATCCTCTGATTCTTTTTTCATTTTTTCTATTCCCATTTTAATTAGGAGGTACACTTAAAAATTACCACTTATAGTAAGGCAAGTAAAAGGGTTTGGAAACTGATCATGATTCACTACATTATAATGGGCTTTCTCAAAGTTATGTATTTATTTAAAAAGCAAAAGAGGGGGCACCTAGGTGGCTCAGTTGGTTAAGCGTCTGACTTCGGCTCAGGTCAGGTCATGATCTCACAGTTTGTGGGTTCAAACCCCGTGTCGGGCTTCATGCTGCCAGTGCGGAGCCTGCTTGGTATTCTTGCTCTCTCCTCTTCCTGCCCCTCCCCTACTCACGCTTTCTCTCTCTCAAAATAAATAAATAAAATTTAAAAAAAAAGAAAAGAAAAGGGAAGGGTGATGGGGTAGAAATTACAGACCCATGCTAATCTTTTGAAATTTATCACAAGTGGTGAGGGAGTTAGCAAGGTACTAATACACCTTGTGGCAGTATACCTTATTCAGAAGCAAAACACCTAAAATGATCAGCTATTTGAGTTCTGAATTCCCAAGCTTGAAGATGGTACATGAATCACAATTAGGGTAGCCCAATTGGTCTATGCCAGAAGCTCTATCTTTTCATTCTTAAACTCTCTCTTCACATTTACTCCTTTTCCCTTATTTCCTTCTACAACATGAAGTTGTTTATCCAGATATGAAAAATCCAGATATTCCTAATTGTGATATATCCTTTCCTCAGCTCCACCCCTATTACATTATGAACAGTAGTTATCAGGGAAAAGCTCTGACACTAAAGTATGGAGGTATCTCAGCATTCAGCTACCTTGCTAGGCAGTTGTAGGAGCTACTTTACTTTGGGAACATAATGGGCACATATTCGTCTACAACCTGAGTCAGAGGAAACCTTTGCTCTGAAAACACAGATTTGGGTTCAAGCTTCTATTTCTTTATTTTTTCCGATGATTCTGGGGTTGTACACGGGCACAAGACTTAGAGATAAATTGTGTACTTTTCTGTTAGGTGTTGGTAAAAGGAAGACAAAAGTTTTTGGAAATGTTTTCTGTGTCTTAATCCCAGATTTTTCCTTTCTCTTATCCTTTAAAGTTTACCAAAGAAACTAAAGTGCATAAAAGCATCTATTTGCAACTGCCTTCTTCGTGGCTCAGGAATCAAGACTTCAAAGCATCATTTGAGACAAAGAAGATCTCAGAGTAGATTTTTACTGGGACAGAAGAGACTGCAGAGAAAGTTGCAGTTGACTCTTTCAAAGGAAATTCAACAGTCCCCTCAAGGGATGCAGAATGCTACAGATAGCAGAAAATGGAAACGCTCACACTGTTCAGTTCATAGAACTGATCTCTACCCCAACAATAAGCAACTCTTGAGGAGCAGAGTTTCAAATCCTGTCATACAAACTAAAGAGAAACAAATTCATGAAAACCTTACAGGAAACAATGAAAATGAAGTGAATTCATGGACAGTGATGCAAATGAACAAACATAATACATCAGGAACCATTAAGGAGACAGATGACATTGATGATATTTTTGCCTTAATGGGTGTTTAAATGCTCATATATGAGACATTTAAGTGCTTAACAAACTGGTCCAGTGTTCTGTTTTACGTGGAACTTGCTGAGTTCTGGAAAGATTTGGAAATACTACTTGGACTCAGGAGCTTATTTAGTGTAACGCTGTACAGCAGTAATGTCAATTCAATAAATATTTATAGTAGCTCTGTGTCATTTAATTGACAAGTACTTGACTACTAAATAGTCAAATTTTGACTTTGTACCAGGGACTAAGATGAAAAAATTTACCATATCCCGTCCTTGAGAAGCAGATGTAATTCCTTAATTAAAGCTGGCGGGTCCCTGGGGCACCTGGGTGGCTTAGTCGGTTAAGTTAAGTATCCCAGCATCAGCTCAGGTCATAATCTTACAGGTTCATGAGTTTGAAGCTCACGTCACGCTCTGTGCTGACAGCTCAGAGCCTGGAGCCTGCTTTGGATTCTGTGTCTCCCTTTCTCTCTGCCCCTACCCCACTCGTGCTCTGTCTCTCAAAAATAAACATTAAGAAAAAAAAAAAGCTGGTGGGTCCCTTAAAAACTGAATAATTTTATGATTTACCAGGGAATTAAGAACTGAGTAATTAGGTTGATAAAAACCTACTCTGTGCCTTAGATATATGGGGATGGGCTGGGATGGAAAGCAAAGTATCAAGGAGTACTTAAAAGGTCACTTTGGTCTTATGGCTCCATTTTAGGTAAGTTCCCCTCTGAACACCAAGGTTTGTAGCTTCTAATGGTTGTGCATATAATTCTTGATTATATGTTAGAATTAATCATCAAAAAGGACTAAAAAATTTTGCCACTAAGTGTATTATCAGGGACTGGTCACAACCATTATTTCACTTCATCTTTTCACCATACCTCACAGAAAGGCATATTAAAATGCTTTTGAAGATCTCCAAAAGTTTCTGGGATTTTTTTTTTTTTTTGGTTTATTTATTTGGGTGCCAGTGATTAATTCCAAATAGACTTTTCTCCAAAAAGGACGTACAGTGGCGTATGGTTATACATGAAGTACAAGATAACAAAATAGAAGTAGATGAGGAAGTCAAATGAAAAATAAAGCTTATTGGGTGCCTGGGTGGCTCAGTTGGTTAAGCACCGCATTCTTGATTTTGGTTCAGGTCATGATCTCACAGTTTGTGGGTTTGAGCTCTTTGTGGGTCTCCATGCTGATGGTGCAAAGCCTGCTTGGGATTCTGTCTCCCTCTCTCTCTGCCCTCCCCTGTTCTCTCTCTCTCTCAAATAAGTTAAAAAAAAAAGAAAAGAAGAAGAAAAAGAAAGCTTAGTTTACACAAAATAGACCCAGTGGTGAGGGCACACATAAATTTATAATTTGGTGCTGATGCTGTCATCTGATAGTTGTATACTGTTTGTACCATTACTCAGGATAAATCTTATGTGTTTTCAATGATACAAGGTTTGATGTATTTCTCAAGTGTTCTAGTTTACTAAAATTAGGTCAGTACTATTCTATTTGTTAAGTAGGTTGTAGCCTTAAGTTTTATGTTATATATGGATGTAGAGAAAAATAAAACAGTGTCCTAGTATATACCGCATCCTTCTTTTCCTTGGCCATCTTCATTTTATTTCCTTTCCACTCCTTATCTAGCCCTATTGTTTTTTTGCACATTTTCCCACTTGTCTACACTAGTGGTTCTCCTACTTGAGGCTGTTTTGAGAATCACTTGGTGGGTGGTTTAAAAATGGGGATTCCCTTCTGAAAGACTGATAAACACAGCCAGGGGCTGGGGACAGAAGCCTGCATTTTTAGCAAGGAGCTCAGGTGATTTTGATGCACACAGCCTGCAAAGCAGTTAAGCACTGCGTTAGCTTCTTTCCTGGAGCCTTGCTAAATATCCTGATTTAATTCAAAGTTCTTAATAAATTTCTAGTCCCTTTTCATTGTATATATTTTTCCTGGATTCCTACAGAGTAGGTAGTAGCTACTTAGTACCTTAAAACATGGATAATACTCATTCAGGACAAGTCTAAAAATAGCCATCAGCTTCTATGATTCTAAGATTTAAGGGCCAGTCTTGCTTCTGCTTTTATTCGTTTATGACTCCAATGAGTTAGTTTCCCTGGGCTTGGATTGCTTCATCTGAAGTGGCATTATTGTTCAAGAATCATAAACTTTTACAGTTGAAAGAGACTTTGGAGATTATCCCTTATTGGAAAAACCAGTGTTCAGTGAGTTAAGGAGATAACGCTATAAAGCCTGAATTGGACTATAGGCCTAACACTTTTTTGTACTTCATTAATGTTTCTTTGGAGTAAGATTCTTCATCTCCTCCCTTTCCCCCTCTCTTGCTCCTTAGAATTCTGGGGGAAATAGTAAAAAAGCCTCACATGTGTCTACAATGTGATAATTTATACATATTTGTAAGAAATGCAGTATTCTAGATGTTAATCTTTCCAAACAATTTAAAATTCTAATGAAAATGAAATCTAATATATATAATAATATAATTAAATCTAAAATATACAAACTACAACTTTCTAGTAAACTAGGTTAGAAACTACTGTTAGTATCATCAGAGTGAATATCAATTTTACTGTTCTGGTAGCATTACAATAGGTTGTCCCTGATAGCACTGTGCTGAGATCTCCCATGCCAAATCCTCTTGGCCTTCTTCCTTCAGCCACTGCTGTGGCAACAGTTTACAGTAGGAGTGGATAACCACACTTCGCCTCCTCTCTGCTCCTTCTGACAAGCTGAAGGAACTTCTTGGCACTGGGCACCCACAAGTTGGAAGAGGCATGGAGCCACCTTCTCCCACTTCAAAGACAACTCAGAGGCACATTTCATAAGGCTCCAAAGAAGGTCCATCAAGATCAAGCACTAGTACTTATGTGATGTCCAACTCCTGCATCTTTGATTGATTTTCCTTTCTTCTGTTTGCTCTCTCTATTGCTCCCGTTCCCTGGGATCACTTCCCAAATAAATGACTGCATGCAAACTTTTGTCTTGGGCTCTGCTTTTAGGAGAACAAAGGCTAAGAAAAAGCAGTACAGTGACACTGGCAAGCAAAATGTTGACTTCTAAGATCGTTCTATTGTCACCATATGTTTTGCTTTGTGAATGCTTGCATAAAATTATTTTTGTTTTTGTTTTTAGCTTAAAACACCGCTTTTAGAATAAACCAGTGCTATCAACCGTAAAACTGAAAATACTGAATTTCCTAAAAAAGTCACAAAGTTGTTTATAGCCTTAAGTTTTTATCTAGTGCTACTGCTGTAATCTTTTAATACTCAGCCTCACTTTGAGAAGCTAAGCCATTTACATGAATAGGTCCATAGCATCTTCATAAAAACCTTTTCTGTTCACGCTTTATCTTTCCATTCTGAATCTTACTGTACCAATTCTAAACTGTCTCATTAACTTTTTTCTCTTGCCTTTTGTAAATATCAGTTTTCTCACTTAAAACTGGTTTTGTTTTTTGCCTTTTACTAGAGAAAATGTTATCTCCTCAATGACAACAGGTTTTCTGTGATAAATCTGAATTTTGCTGCATTCTTGGGTTGGTTTACTTTACAAATACACAAAACATAAAGATATCCTTTATACATATAATACCATTGTAATCTTTATAGCTTTGTGAATTATAAATAAAGTGCAGAGAAATCAAGTAACATGACCAAAGCCCAATGTAATAAATATTAGAACTGAAACTTGAATTCTGGTCTTCTGATTCTGAATACCGTGTTCACCTGAAGGTGAATGATCCCAGCCTGAAATGACTGGTGTTTGAGCATGGACTGAGATTTTATCAAGCATACATACAAAGTCTAAGAAAAAAGATAACTTACAAGCATAGAGAGGAGCGATGGTCTTCCATCTACCAATAGTGCTTAATAGAAAAGTAGCCCCTTTTAACCTAGTCCATTTTATTATTTAAATGTAGGTAATAGACATTGTCTTTAAAAGACAAAAGCCCAATAAAAACACGGCAAACCATTCTCTACACAGTAGTAAATAGGTTTCCATATTATGGACTTCTATGTGCTCTTGTCAGTCTGTTAAAACAGGAGCCCTGTTAAAATAGGAACTGTTAAAATAGAACACTATTTGTTCTAATGAACAGCATAATTAAATTATTTATAAACATTTTCCCCCAGGCACAAATTCATACTTGCTTTGGGAAGATGCAAGTTTTACAGCTGAAATGATCCTTCTGCAAATTACAGACGCACAGCATTTAAAATAATGTTGAAGGGCACCTGGGTGGCTCAGTCGTTTAAGCATCCAACTTCAGCTCAGGTCATAATCATGCGGTTCAAGAGTTTGAGCCCCACGTCAGGCTCTGTGCTGACAACTCAGAGCCTGGAGCCTGCTTCAAATTCTGTGTCTCCCTCTCTCTCTGCCCTTTCCCTGCTCACACTCTGTCTCTCTGTCTCTGCCTCAAAAACAAAACATTAAAAAAAATGTTGAAAAATTAAAAATAGATCTACCCTATGACCCAGCAATAGCACTGCTAGGAATTTACCCGAGGGATACAGGAGTGCTGATGCACAGGGGCACTTGTACCCCAATGTTCATAGCAGCACTTTAAACAGCCAAATTATGGAAAGAGCCTAAATGTCCATCAACGAACGAATGGATAAAGATGTGGTTTATATATACAATGGAATACTACTTGGCAATGAGAAAGAATGAAATCTGGCCATTTGTAGCAACGTGGATGGAATTGGAGAGTATTATGCTAAGTGAAATAAGTCAGGCAGAGAAAGACAGATACCATGTTTTCACTCATATGTGGATCCTGAGAAACTTAACAGAAGACCATGGGGGAGGGGAAGGGGGAAAAAAGTTACAGAGTGGGAAGGAGGCAAACCATAAGAGACTCTTGAATACTGAGAACAAAACTGAGGGTTGATGGGGGGTGGGGGAGGGGGGAAAGTGGGTGATGGGCATTGAGGAGGGCACCTGTTGGCATGAGCACTGGGTGTTGTATGGAAACCAATTTGACAATAAATTATATTTAATATAAAAAA